CTCCTGGCCGGCCTGGGGCGCCGGCTCCTCCGCCAATTGCAGCAGGTCCAGCAGCGGAGACCCTGTGTCGGGGGTGTGGGGGGCACCAAGAATGAAGTGGGGGCCTGGGGCGTGGAGGGGGCCACAGAGGTGTGGGGCCTCACCATCCGAGCCCAGGAGCCGGAAGGCGGCCTTGCTCCCAGGCAACGTCTGCTTCTCGGGGTCCTCGGTCAGCTTCATCCGAGGCTGGCCTCCCACAGACACCAGCTGCAGGGACAGGGTGTGGAGAGAGCCGGACCCTCCCCAGCCCATGATGCCCACGGCGGCTGCAGGAAGTGCAAACAAGGGCCTCGGGGCGCTGGTGGACCTTGAACCCATGGCAAGGGCCAGAGTTATGCACCGATTGTCTAGTCCTGACAATGGGGGCTCAAGCTATTTCCTGACCAAATCCTTCTAATATTCACTGGCCTTTAAGATAGTCTGTCTGCTACCACAATTACCTGCCTGAGAGCTAGATGTGTATCCAACGTCCAATAAAAGGCTGGCGAGGCCTGGGCACCCGTGGCAGTCCTTCCCCTTGAGTTGGGCTTGCCCGCCTGGCCCCCAATATTTCCAAATTATTATTTCTTGTCTCGTCTCTTTCATTTGCATGCGGCCCCTCCTCCAGATCCTGAACCCTGAACCACACGGGGCATGGGAACATTCACAGCCCACCCCCCAGGGGCCCCAGTCCCTGTCTCTACCTTGTAGACGCAGCCCAGGGAAGGCTGGCGGGGGCAGGTGACCACGCTGGTGCCAATGCCAATGACATTCACTTCGCTGCCCTGGAAGGGGAGAGCCGGGGCACTGGGCTCAGCCCGCATCTGCAGGCCCAGGGCCCTCCTGGCCACCGCCGCCTGCTCCGCCCCGCCCCGTCCCGCCCCACCTGCTGGGCCAGCCGGGCCAGCTCCTTCTCATCGATGTTGTTGCTGACAGCGATGGGGACTGACTCCAGCCAGGGTGCCTGGAACCTGGGATGGGGGGCTCAGAAGTTCCTGATTCACCAGGGCTCCCTCCCTCCCTGGTCATGCCCCTCCCACGGGAGACTCTGCCCTCAGCCACACAGGCCACTGTGACCCTGCAGGGCCACCATGCCTCCATGGAAATAGGCCCAGATCAGATCTCCTCACTGTGGGAAAGGCAGACAGCAGAGGGCAGGGGGCAGGGAGCCGGGTCCCTCACTCTCCTTGCCCCACCCCTATATCCGCACCCCTGAGGGAGTCTCTCAGCAGACAGCCCCCTGGACTCACTGGGCCCCCGTGGTCCGGAAGAGCCCCCGGACCTCCTGGGCCTGCTGCAGCAGGTCCCCACTGTCCAGCCGCACGCCCACAGCCCGGTAGCCCAGCTCCCCCAGGGCCAGGGCCACCGCCAGGAAGTTGGGAAGTCCGCTTCTGCAGCCGGGACAAGGAGGTCAGGGTGCTGCAGCTTCTCCCCCGAGGCCCCCGCCCCCATGGTGTGTGGGGGCGCCTGGCCTCACCTCCTCACGCTGTAGGTGTCCAGCAGGCCCTGGAAGGCCCGGGGGAAGGCCAAGGCATAGGCCACAAAGGCCGCCCGCTCCCCGGGGTGTGGATCCTGCACCCCCAGCCCCAGGTGGGCGCACACACGTTCCAGCCACGCCTCCACACGGGGGGCCAGGTCCACCCTGGGGCCCTGACCAGCAGCCGGAGCCAACATCTAGGGAGAGGGGTCAGCGAAGGATGGGGACTGAGTTCACCCCTGGGTGAGGGTCTGAGCAGGGGCGATGCCGCCTGCCTGCCAGCTTCCCAGGGCCACACTGTGGCTCCCTGCCCAGGTGGCTTCTGCCCTTGTGCAGAGGACCGGACCCCCTCCTCCAGGCCGGCCTGGCCTTGGGGTCCGCCCTTTGGAGCTCAGGGGGAAGAGAAGGGTACTGACCGGGTCAGGAGGCACCTCTGTGCCGGAAAAGGAAGTGACGAAGGAGTGCGCCAGGGTCCCCACCACGGGCACGCCCCGCAGCTGTCCTGCCAGCACGTTGCTGCTGCCGTCAAAGCCTAGGCGGGCATCGGGGCATCGGGCCGTGTTCACAGGGGCCTCGGGCTGGGGGTCCTCCTCTGCCTCCCTCCCCTCCTTCCCGGCCTCACCCCCCAGGTAGCTGTAGGTGGAGGCCGTCAGACCCCCGTCGGGGCCCTGCGCGCGCCGCAACCCCATTTCTAGCAGCCGTTTCTCAGGCCCTGCGATGAGGCGGAGCCGCGCCGCGTTGGTAGCAATGAGGCTGTGGGGCAGGCAGGGGACCAGGGTGAGGGTCACGTAGGCCCCAGAACCCGCCCCTCCTGGAGGCCGAGCGAGGCACCCACGGAGCTCGGACCCGGGCGCATGCAGACACGCCCACACCCCAAAGGGCTGGCCTCCCGAAAGTCCAGGGTCACCCCGGCTGGGGTAGGGGGCGAGGGGGCCCCACCTGGCGTAGCTGACCAGGCAGAGGAGGGGCGTCTCCAGCAGCTGCACCACCAGCAGCGGCCCCGACACCTGCAGCAGCGGCACCTGCGGGGAGGGTGTCAGTGGCGGCCGCCCCGCCCCCTCGGGCTCCCCTCCGCCCCGCTCGACCCGCACTCACTCCGGGGAAGGCGAGGGAGCCCTCGGGCAGGGCCCGCACCGTCACCCCGGAGCAGTCCAGGGCCCGGAGGTGCTCGAAGAACGCGGGGTCGGTGTCTGGGGGCAGCACCGAGGCCAGGAACTGCACGT